ACGTACGTACGTACCGTACGTACGTACGTACGTACGTACGTACCGTACTACCGTACGTACGTACGTACGTACGTACGTACGACCGTACGTACGTACGTACGTACGTACGTCTCTCTCTCTCTCTCTCTCTCTCTCTCTCTCTCTCTCTCTCTCTCTCTCTCTCTCTCTAGAAGTCTCCAAGACTAATCATACCAAGATCACCTCCATGAAGGACTAAGGCATAATGTATTTTTCACCTTTGATAGTGATATTAAGGTTTTGCCACATTTCACTTTTTTAGAGAAGGCAGTTACAGGCTTTATTAAATTTCCAAATCATGTCCAGAGAAACATAGGGCTTTCCTTTCCCTGTCGGTTCAGCTTTGAACAACTGATTTTCGGGCTTATTTAGACTATTTAGTATGGTTTTTGGCCAGATTTCTTTCCATGTTTTGCTGGAGAATTGAATTGAGCATCATATGGTTTGAAGCCCATTGAAAAACACCTCATACTTTGGAACATTTGAACAGATTAAGTGGCTATGTGCAGCAGTTATTCCTTTTAACCAAATCTTACGGCCCAAATTGTTCTAACACTTGATCCAATTCATTTGAACCAGTAGTTTGATTTGAAAGTTACTGAGTCAATTTTGTTTCAAGTTTCATTGAAAAAGGCCCAGGGGTGAGGGAGATATTGAGGAAACAAGCCTTGGTGGTCATGCAGTCTACTGCAGACAACAACCCTCTTGTAACCCTTGATTGATCATAGGTTCAATCTCCAATCTAAAGATAAATCCCTTCAATTCTTGTATGAGTTTGTAGGGTAGTGAAAGAGGATCATTTTCCCTACCATGATATACCAGCCAAGGACCTTCCATATGTAATCCCTTATTGCAACATTGTTTGGCCAATCCCTAACTTGGCATATTTGGTTCATTTTTAATCTACCTCCCTCATCTCCGATGTCCTAGGGAGGAGGTCGGTGCCAAAGTACAAGTAGAAGGTTGGGTTCCGCAGAAAGGGAGCTTACTCCACTTTCGATGATCTCGTTACCCTCCCCTTTGAGTCATCACAGCATCCTCCTCAAATGGGGACAATCCCAATAGCTTGGCCCAGCAGTTGATGAAAGCAACAAAAGTCAGGTTTACGAGGTGTCTGAGCTTTGGTTGTCTTCTTAAATTTGGGGAAGCCTCACTAGGCCATTGGCCATGAGGACGTTAAATATTTTCAAATATTGCACCCCGAGGGATGAGGTATGTGTTCTGATCTCAATTTTCCTGCAGAGCATCCTCTAGTTGCCCTTCCACTACAAAGGTCAGATTGGCAAATTCCGAGCATCAGCACTCCTGCTTCCCTAATGAGTTAAAGCCCAATTGTATGAGTCCTTTCTTAATCAAGCATGTCCAAAAGAAATCCTCCATAACATGTCCAAGCATGTGATGACATAGGCAGTAGTTTGGCTAATCATCTCTCCCAACCAGCTTGGGCCTCATTGGGACAGGAAGTTCTCCCATTCCCTTGTTATGTAGAATCTGAAGAACACCTGGGACTAACTCCCTATTGAAAGAGTGCTTCCTTTCCATGCATTCTCTCAGGGTGAGCTAGAATACGTGTCCTCTCAATCTTGGGATCTCGGGCTATTCACCACCCATTTATGTTGTTCGGATTGTAATAAGGCGCACGGACTTGTATCAATCTTTATGATTTAGGTTCTTGCACGTTTCTTGTTGGACACCATTCTTTTCTTTCCCCTTTCAATGAATGACTATCGTGCCATCACAACCTATGATGACGAGCTCCTCCCCTTTAATTTATCAAATCATGACTTCTTGTACCCTTTGACTAATGGAGCGTAGCAGGGATAATTTCCTATGATGTTTGAGCAACCCAATTTTCACTCCCTTGGTGGTCATTTCAGCGAAGGTTTATGGTTAGCTGCTTCAAAATGCTCCAAAAACTCCTTTCACATGCTTCTAATGCAGTTTTGCATGGCATATGCCTTGGGTATGGGAATGTTCTAATAAATGGCCAAGCCACACCACCTTTTATGCATCTATCCACTGGCTCATTTGGCTTTTGAGCTACTTTGAGTAGTTTTATTTATCACTTGGACGTCTGGCTCAACATTATAGAAGAGTCAATAGAACTCTTCTAAGACTTCTGCATCAAACTTTATCATTGTTTCAAAAAGCGGACCACCCAGCGCCTAGGTGGATTTCCCTAAGCGCCCGCCTGAACCCTCCTAGACGGCCGCCCAAGGCCTATGCGGCCCAGGGGCAGAATTGCAGCTCCTTGAGGGTATTTTTGGGTCATTTTTTTAATATAAAGAGGTAAAATTGTGGGTTTTAGGTTCATTTGAAACCTAAAATCCATTAGAGGCTATTTTAGAGAGAAAAAACCCAAAAAAAAAAAATAGTTCTACTAGGCAGCCCAGGTTCTGGGTGCCTGCCTAAGCACTGGGCGGCCTGGACCCCCTCCCGACCGCCTAGGAGCCACCTAGCGCTTTTTGAAGCACTGACCTTTATAGAAATGGGTTAAGCGGAGAATACCTTTTGGAGGCCGCTTTTGACAAAGTCTCCACAATTTGTCTTGAAAATGGTCAGTCCATGCGCTGTCTCTATAGACATACATGAAATGGTTGACATGTTGTTTGGGCAAGCCCATGCCATCAAATTTGGGGACCTTAGTTCTTTGGTAACGAGGGGAGGGAAAGGAGTCTTGTCAATATACATATAGTATATATATATCTCCCTTAACAACGCTCTCAAGCCCTCCCAACGTAGGGAGCTCAGGTATGTGCCAATCCCAAGCTCCCGCACCAGCTTTGGGTTGCATTCCCGCTCTTGTTCCCAACCTCCACTTATTCTATATCAAATCTAATAGAGAACACCTTAGTTCAAACAACCACAATGACAAGCATACCTGAGAAAACAAAGAATCTTTGCAGTTACAAATATAAGAGTACAAAAACCCTAAATTGCTCACCAAGAGATGCAATCGGAACTCAATAAACCCGCTCTGATACCATATTACAAAATTAAAGGGCACTTTTGATCTGTTAGATCTGCCCTAAGATACATCAAACAAGTGAAGAATCAAAATCCCAATGAGGTTTAAAAAACAGGGTGGTGTACAGGCAAATAAGGACTTGGAGAAGTCATGTCTCACACTTGGCCCCATAATTTCACCTATTAAATGTAAAATAAAGTATAAAGTTAAAACATTACTCTCAATAATATTACAGAAATATCCCATGGTGATATTTACAATTACTAGAGGACCATAAAAAGAAGAAAAAAAATAAAACAAAATATAACAATAATTTACATCTTTTCACGTCCCAAACTACCCTTCTCTTTGCAGTTGTCCCCATTCAAGAATCGCGCATTCTAAAGTCATCATGCAAGTGGGAATCAATTGTTCCTAGTGATGCTAATTATTTGCATTTGTGATAATGAAGATCAGCAGAATAGAGAGGAAATCAAAATTTCGTACTTGAATGCATCTTTATGTTACATTATAATAACAAGCCATATCCATCAATATCATTCAATTGAAATCACTTTCTCTAAATACAAAATATAAAGTTAAAGTAGAGTATATCTTTCATTTCCTCTATTTTTGTGTCACCAATAATTTAAACGAAAAAAATTTATTTCTATGGTGCCAGACTTCCAGCTCATATACTACCTTTTTAATGAATAAAAAACAATGATGCTCAATGGAAGAGGTAATCAAAATTCTTGGCAACTTCTGAAAATAAAACAAAAAAGTAACATGCAGAATACTAATTTTGCATAGGATATATTATTCTAATGCCAAGTTCACTGACTGCATCACATTGCCAATGGTTATAAAAGACAAAAATTCATCAAGAAACTTCAAAAGGATTTCTGTAAGAAAGTTGTACATACAGATTTCCCAACTCCAGCTGGTCCTGTGAGCACAAGAACATTATTACAAGAATTGACCTGAAGGAAGGTTAAATAAGGTTTCAGCAAATCGCTCAAAATGTGAAGCACAAATGATTACTTAAAGGACTTCAAGCAATAAATTTGTGGCATTCTTCCAAACGTTTGCAGGGAGATGGTTGTCATTTGTATAATATATGAATGCAACCACTATCTATTTGGTCATATACATGTACATTTGTCTAAAGTCAAGGATGCCAAGCTATGATCGCCTAAGGAATTATGGTCACTATGTGTAGTGCACTTATCTCACATGAAGGCCGGTAACATTCACCCAAAGGAAGGACCCCACAACTGAAGGAGGCCTTCACTCATCTTCCCACCTCCACACCTCTTGCACGAAATATATCTCAAATTAGCACTAGATGCCCAAGGCATGGAAATCTCATTTGAGTATGAATTGTGTCCTCAATTGTATCAAGAAACAGCAAGAAATGAGTATGTGCACATATTCCAAAGGACTCAAAAATAAATAAATAAGTAAAATAGTACAATGTCAAAGTATAGAATAAAGCAATTAATTCACTTGTATGGGGCCCTGATTTTATCTACTAGAAATACTACAAAACGAAGAACTGTTCTACATTTTGACTTTTGAGAAGGATCAAGGATCCATGAGTAGGTATGATATTTGTTAGTGAGCACCATCTGAGTAATTTATCTACGTAAATCAGTGTCAACTTCTCAAAGGTTGAAAATTGCCAAGTGCAATACAATATCTTTGGAATTCCTAATATTACATCAAAATCCTGTCTACTTAGATGGAGGATTGTAGTTTTCCATTAAAATAACTAGAATGCTTATTTGAGTATACAGCAAGAAAATCAAGCAAAAATGCAACCATCAAGGGTTAGTTCATATTAAGCTAGGTCTTGCAGCTTCCTCAGTCATCATGATTGATTAGCATTACCAAGAAATTGCTTGATATTTCAAGAAAAGTCTGCCATAATGAGACCTAGGCAACGATAATCTTTTACAAATTAATTTTCTTTAAAGAAATGATCTTTTATGAATTAATTTGAAAAAAACATATCTAAGCTCCATATCAAGATGGAGCACAGAAAAAAAAATCAAGAAATAAAATCAATTCAAAAGTACATCGCAATAAAAATAAAGTATCACTTCCTTGACTTGTAAACTAGAGTTTATGCAACAAAAGCACATTGTGTTCTCCTACAATTGATTAGCATTGGTCTGATCAAACCTCACATTATTGCAAGATTTGTTACATCCAAAACATAAAGGGAAACATATCCTTTCTTGCACTACAAAACTCATTCCAAATAACAGCTGCCTTCCAAATTATTGGGAGAAAAAAAAAAGTAAGATTTCTCAGAGAAAAGTCCAAATCTAAGTACAGTAAGTTGATGAAGGGCATTACCTTTGACATCCTGAACCGCTCTTCCAACCATGTATTTACTTCTCCAACCTGTAACATAAAACTAAGATATTTTATGGTCAGAATAAGATGCATAGGAATTACTAAGTGAACCGCCAAAATAAAACTTGAGCTCTACACTTGCCTCTAGGGAAATAGAAGAGTATAACAGCTAGTGTTACATCAAAAAGCCGCTCCAAAAAGATATCTAAGAGATTCTAGTGATCCACGACGTAAATATTTGTGTTTCAGATGGTAATAACAATTTTTTAATCCATCTTGTTATAATGCATATTATAAAGAATATTTACACATTTTTTAACCCATAAATCATAGCAATATTTCAAATAGGTAAGAGTTAATAGTTTTCCATTCTACCCTTTTGGAGATGACATTACAAAAGCTCGTAATATTAGGCTTAATCCATAGAAAAGACAGAAAACTAAAGTTGGAGCGCAAGTAAAAGGAGATATCACTTCTGACAGTTACATTATTTGCAGACAACTTGAAAGCAATTTTAAAGGTTAAATTATTTGTAGCAAAAGTTTTATGTATCTTAAGGATATTATTGTTGTTATTATAAAACATTGGCTCTCTTGTAAATTAGATGGAATTATTATACTATTCTCCTAACAAGGCTAGGTTTGCAGGAACCACAACAGAAAGAAAGCAATCATGAGGAGCAATTCACTTTGCTTATTTCCCTATGTTTCTCCTGTAATTTCTACAGCCTCCAAGGAAACAGTAATTCACTTCAATGAGTCCTTTTAATTGTTTTTATTTAGTTATGCCTCCCTTACAAAGAGGAGAAAAGATGCAGCTTTATCAAAAGCATAGACATCAAGTTTGGAAAGAAAAAACAAAGAACAAGCTAAGGAAACAATGAGAGGCAGGTGGAGAAAAGGCGATAGAATACGGCACTAAGATTTTATCGCCTTGTAGAAGTAACTCACGCTTAGGCTTCTGTAACCGATTGACTACATCCATTCCTTCACAAGCCAACCCTCATACTACAAATGTAAGTTCGATTATTGTTGCTTCAAACACAAGTTCGATTATTGTTGCTTCAAACACACATGCACACAAGCACACATGCACACGCACACACAAAGGTAAACCATTTGGTTCAGCCAAGGGAGTGAAAGATGTGGCTATGTGGAATTCAAGACTATAAAATTAAAATTTTTTCTTCTTTCCTTTATTAAAGAATCTGAATTTTACTTATAAGTCTCACAAAACATCAATGTTTCAAAAAACGGTCCGTCCAGCGCCTAGGCGCCCAGAAAAATATTTCTGCACGCCTCGACCTGAGCGCCCCAACACGGGCGGCAGTACCTGGGCGGGCACCCAGCGCCCAATTCTGGGCGCTGCCCAGGAAAGTTGGCGTTTTTTTTTTTTTAACTTTGCCCAAAAGGGCAAAGGAGATCATTTTGACCCCCAAGTTTGTATAAAAGAAGTTTTGGGGTTTCCCCAAAGTGAAAAAAAACAAGAAACCTCAATTTTAAACTTATTTCTAAGAATCTAAAGCAATTTCTGAGAATCAAAAGTACTTTTTGTGGATTGAAAACGTTTGTTTTTCTAATTGAAATTATTTTTTGGGTGCTATTGGTGGTATTAAAGGACTTTTTAGTAGATTCGTAGCTCGATTGACGTAACCAACATCAAAGATCAGATAATTGGTAGAAAAGGTCAGTCTATTATCTTTATTTGAGTTTTCTTTTTCCAATTTGAGATGTCTTCTGCGGGGTCTACTAGGGGTGGAGATCCGAGATAGAAATATTGCGTCAGAATGACAGAAATAAAATTATGTGCAATTTCTGTAGACATATTTCTAATGTTGGCATAAATAGATTTAAGAAACACCTTGTCGGTATTAGAGGTGATGTTGCCCCATGTAAGAAAGTCCAGGATCTTGTAAAGAAAGAAATTTTGGAGTACATTGAAGTTGAAAGAGTAAAAAAATTGTAAAAAAAAAAGATATAGTAGAATTAAAGTCAGAGGTCCATATTTTTTATGATAATATTGACACTGAAGAAGCGGATGAAGAGGGGGAAGAAGAGGTAGCCATGGTTGGTACTTAGAGCTCGAAGACCAAGAGGGCTTTTGGGTCTAAGGAGGCTTGTAAAAGAGGGCCTATAGATAGTTTTTTTACACCTAGCCCTGAGACAGTAATTGAGAAAGGCAAGGGAGGAAAGGCGAAAAAACAAGTGACAATTGAAAATAGGTTTAAGAAGGAAGATAGAGCCAGGGTGATTCAGTATATTGCTCGGTGGTTTTACCATGCGGCCATTTCTTTTAACACTGCTCGCTTGAATATCTTCCATACAATGTTGGAAGCAATTGGGGGCCAAGTTTGAAAGCTCCAACTCCTTATGAGATTGGAGAGCCAGTACTAAAGAAAGAAGTCGAGTACACCAACGAATATCTCAAGACTCGTAAAGAGGGATGGGTTAATTTTGGGGTTTATTTAATGACAGATATGTGGAGTGATAGGAGGAGGAGTAACATGAATTTATTAGTAAATTGTCCCACGGGTACAGTTTTTTTGCGCTCAATCGATGCTTCCAATGATGTTCATGATGCGCATTATATATTTTCTTTCATTGATAAGGGCATTGAGGAGGTTGGGGAGGAACTTGTAATTCAAGTGGTCACAGATAATGCTGCTTCCAATCTACCTGCAGGTCATTTGCTTGGACAGAAGAGGCCTCGCATATTTTGGACTCCTTACACTGCACATTGCGTAGATCTTATGCTTGAGGCAATTGGTGAAGTGTCTACTATTAAAAGAATTATTTTTAAAGCTAAGGAGGTTACAATCTTCATATACAATCACATACTTACCCTTAGCATGATGCGCAAGTTTACAAAAAAGAAAGAGCTAGTGAAGCCCGGGGTCACTAGATTTGCCACTGCCTACCTCAGTCTACAGAGCATGTATAGAAGAGGGATCGCAGTAAGGTCTATGTTTGCTTCAAAGGAATGGAGCAGGTGTAAGTGGTCTAGAGATGCCAAGGGAAATAAAGCACGAGATATTGTTCTTTCAAAATATTTTTGGCGTGGGGTGAAGCATGCGATATTAGTATTTCTTCCCTTGGTGAAGGTCTTGCGCTTGGTTGATATATATAATGCAATGGAAAGGTCTAAGAATGAGATTGCCGAGAATTTGAGCAATGATGCAGTGAAGTATGCTCCAATTTGGGAGATTATAGATGACAAATGGGTTAGGCAACTCCATAGACCATTGCATGCAGCAGGGTAGTATTTGAACCCCAAATTCTTTTATGCAAATGCAGATATTGAGTCAAAAGGGGTAATTATGAATGGTTTTAATGAGTGCCTTGAGAAATTAGTTCCTGATCCACATATCCAAGATAAGATATCAACTAAAGAGTTAATTTTGTACAAATGTTCTTTGATGTCATTTGGGAAAGATATGGCATTAAGACAGAGAAACAAAGACGAACCAGGTACTACTCTTTTGATTTTTGTTTTATAAAATATAAATTTATAATTTTCTTTCAAGTTATAATAATGTTAAATACCTAAATTAATTATAAAGGTTGCCCACATATTGCAGCCCAATGGTGAAGAAAACATGGGAGTAGCGCTCCAAACCTCCAAAATCTGGTTATACGGATCTTGCGTTTGAAAACTACCTCTTCTGGTTGTGAGAGCAATTGGAATTCGTTTGAGATGGTATTTTACTATTTTACAATTTATATGCTTTTTTGTTTATAAGTTCATTTTGTGATATTGATTCATAAAAGGTAAGAAGATCATAGACTCATAGTAGTTACTTATGTATTATTTTTCCTTATAGGTGCATACAAAGAGAAGAAATAGGCTTGAGCAAAAGAAGCTCAATGACTTGGTTTTTGTTAAAGAGCATCAAAGGCTCAAGGAGAAGAAAAACCAGCTAAAGAGGGACCCTATCTCTTCAAAAGACATAGAGAATGCTTCAGATTGGCTAGTTAGTGACCCTAGTACTGAGGAGGTCTTCCCTGTGGAGGGTTTGATATGGGAAATGGTCAAGGAGGCTTCGAGGCAAGCTTCTGATCCTAGAGGGCCACTCGAGCAACTTCTTCTACTGGTACTTCACGAAGGGAGAAAAAGGGAGATGAGGCAGATTCAGAAGAATCTCTGGAAGAAGAGGAATATGTTGAAGAGGGTGATGATTCAAATGTTGTCTTATCTCTTCTTTTGAAGTAACTTTAATACTTTATTGCACCATCTTGGTTTGGGCTTTAGACATTTGGACAATTTTTATTTAGTTATGTGGTTTGTAATTTTTTTGCCTTTTTAGACTATTTCGTTGTGTGGTGTACTGGTTTTTTTATAGTTTTGGAAGTCAGTTTGTTGATAACTTTGAGAGTTGGAGATGTTATTATGGTTTATTTTATGGATATGGAATATGGAGAATATGAGAGTTGGAGACCTTACAATAGCCTATTAGACTTTCAAATGTTTTCTATGGTTTGAAATTTTGAATAAGTTTATTCTCAACCTGATTAACTGAGAGGCTGAGACATGTGATATGTTTGTATATAAAAACATATGCTGCGAACTTGCGATAATTTCAAATAAAATAAATTATAAAATTTGACACAAATATATGCATATATGTGCATTTGGATAGCAAATATATAAAAAAAAAACTAAGAATAAAAATGAATCTTCCACTAACAATTTAAGTACAAATAATGTTCCTGGAAATCATAATAAATATGGAAATATGACTGAAAAATAAAAGTAAACAGTTGGAAGACTTACTCAACTGTGCCAAGGGTTACCCCCACATGACTTGGTACACCCTACACTTGATTCCCACAAATGGTGCCCATGGATCCTATTGGTCTTGCTGGAATTTCAGAGCCGGGAAGCTTGTCTAGGCAATACCTCTCAAACTAGGGTTTTTGAGCGCATACAAACACAACTTGGGTTTATTATAACCCCTTAAGAACAATTAGGACATGCCTAAAAAGAAAGACAGCTCCCTTTTTCAAAACTAGGGTGTGCCCCTCTCTATGAGCTAAAAATGCTAATTAGGG